GTCAAACACCAGGAGTGACAGTGAAATTAATGATGGTGAACAAGAAGAAAGATAGGAACGGAAATCCATTCGGAGAGAGGAGCAGAACTTCTTCAAGGTGGGCATGCCTAGAGCAGATGTGGCTGTGAGTTAAATACTAAATAAAACCGAAAGAACTGCAGATGCAGATGTAATTCAGGAATGGTGTGAGATGGATGTGTAAAGGGATTGCAGGTCTGTGGTAAAGAGAAGGCGGCTGGAGCCTGGTCCATTCTTCCTTCATCCCCAACACACCCGCACAGCCCTACAGTACCTTCCCCTGCAACTGGCCAAGGTATAACACCTGCCCATTTACCTCCTGTCTCGCCAGTATCCAAGGGCCTAAACATACCTTCCAGGTGAAGCAACACTTTCCCACAATCTAGTCTACTGCATTTGCTGGTCACAATGTGGTCTCCTCTACATTGGGAAACGAAGCATAGACTGGGTGGCCACTTTACAGAACATCTACGTTCTGCTCGCAAAAAGACCCTGAACTACCTGTTGCCTGCCACTTTAATGCACCACCCTGCTCGCTAGCCAACATCTCTGCCTCTGGCTTGCTGCAGTTTTCCAGTGAAGCCCAACGCAAGCTGGAGGAACAACACCTAATTTTCCGCTTGGGGACCCTACAGCCCTCCAGAATCAATATTGAGTTCAATAATTTTAAGGCCTAAACCCTCCCATGTCCCAGCCCCCTAACCTACACACCAGGCCTTGTTACCACACAGCCTGCCATTACACACCCCCTGTTGTTAGTCACTAACTGTTAACAGCTATTCACCCTCCTAGCCAGATCGTTATCAACTCCTTTGTCTATCCAACTGTTCCACTCTCTCTTTGGGCTCTATCCTTTATCCTATTGTTTACTCCCCACCTCACCCCCTTCTCTAGCTTCTGCATATAAACTGACGTTATCATCAGAGAGCCATTGCTCAGGAATCTGCACATCCACAATCGCAGGTTCGAGTGGCTGGGGGAGGGAGGGGAAGGCCATGGCTATGGGGGTGACCAGGATCAGGGACGTGCTGGGTGGTGGGGGCCTGGGCTGGATGCTGCTACAGGAATTGGCGCACAGGGTGGCAGTAGACATCTGGCTCACGGTCACTGCCATCCAACACCTGAAAATGGCAGTGCTCTGACCCAACATTGTGCATCAGCTGGAGGATGCTCAGGCGTGCGGTGGGATCCCATCTGTGCGTACCCCTGCCTGGACGGAATTTCACATCGGCCCTAGGATCCCATACGTCTCCCAGGAGCTGTGTCCCACAACCTGAGCTGCCTCCAGAATTTTAATTTTGTGTCTTTTAAAGATGTGAAATGACGGTCCCTGTACAGACTGCTGCTGCACACCATCCACCTCTTCTCCTTCATTCACCACCTGGACATGCCCATTTACCAGTTGGTGGTGGGGAACTCCAGTGGAGGGCCCTCTATGCAGGATTCCTCCCTCCTTCCCTTGGGGATATGGGAGGGTAGGGTGTTGCACACAGCAGTCCTGTGTAACCACAGATTGCAGTAGTTCACCGACTCCCAGCCCGACTATCTGTTTTGCGGCGCTGTGGAGTCTGTGGACCATGTAGATACTGGGTGTGGGTGTTTGCACTCCCTTTTCAGTTATCTTCAGAACTTTCTTTTGGGTTTTTGGCTACACTTCAGCCCCACCCTCCTGATCTTTGGGCACCCAGTGCGGAGTGGGGAGCCGAGCAGGTTGGAGAATCTCCTGGGGGTCTGCTCCTGGGCCTGGCCAAGCTGGTCATTAACAGGTCCAGGCAGTGGGCCACAGAGGGAGTCATTCATAGCTGACTACCTGCTCCTCTTCCATGGCTACATTCCTGCCCGGGTGTCCCTGGAGAAGGAGCATGCCATGTCCACCAATACTCTTGATATCTTTTGGGAGAGGTGGGCACTGCGAGGTGTGGAGTGTTTTATTTGCCCCCCCCATTCTATTTTGATTTGATCCCTACCCTCCTCCTTCACCTTTTTGTTCACATAGGCATTGCCCCCATGGGGCTCTGCTTGCTCCTGGTTCCTTGGTCACATGGATGTTTTTCCTGAAGGAAAAAGGAGAACAAAGAAAAAATATAAACCAACATTTTCCTAGCTCCCATCAGTTCTGAGGAAGGGTCACCGGACCTGAAACGTTAACTCTGATTTTTTTCATCACAGACGCTGCCAGACCTGCTGAGCTTTTCCAGCAACTTCTGTTTTTGTTCCCACATGCCACTATTTCAAAATCTAAACTCTAAAGTAAAATAACTTAAAATATATATTAAGCATGCACCTTATATCACAGTAGTTATAACACAATCAACTTGTTGCACCTTGAGAACCTAAAAAAGACACATTTAAGCCAACTCTCTGTTTACTGTAAACTAACCAATCATCTTTCCATAATAAGATACTGCCTCCTACAGCATGGCCTCTTATTTAGTACAGTCACCTTCAACAAGACTTTTGTTAAATTCCGTCAGGAAATCTGGAAGGCCTGCAAGGTGGTTTAAAACAAAAACGCTGAAATAGTTATGGATAGAGAAGGAGAGGCTGCACGGTTGGTAGGGAAGAGGAATCATCAAGACGGGAGAGCTGAACAGGCCAGGAGAGAGGAAGGCTGTAGAGGACAGGATTAGAACTGCAGGTTGTGGGCAGGGAGAGGGAGTGGTTCAGGGTGGGAATGGGAGGGGCAGCTGGTGAGGGGTAAGGGAGAAGAAAGCTGCAAAAGAAAGAGAAAAGCTTTAGACCTGTGAACAATAGAGCACACAACTAACTCAGTGCCAGAAAAACAGAAAATCACTGAGTAATAAATTCCTTGCAAATGCATGTAGTATGAGATCACCTTAGTTCTAAGGTTCAAGATATATGGATGGAAGTAAGAAAGAGAAAGGGGTAGGAACATTGATGGGAGTTGACTATAGGCCACCAAACAGTAGTGATAATGTAAATGACAATATAAATCAGGAAGTTAGAGGTGTACATAGTGAGGATAATGCAGTAAACATAGGGGATTTCAATAGAAACTGGGTAAACCCAATTTGTCCGATTTTGTGAAACACTAATTCCTCAAATGTATGTGATAGTTTCCTGGATCAGTACATTGAGGAATCAAGTAAGGAATAGATGCTTATAGACTGAGTTTCTGCAATGAGAAAGAGTTAATTAATAATTTAGGAAAGAATGACCAAATGATAGAATTTTACGTTAAGTTTGAAAGTGATGTAGTTCAGTCAGAAACTAGGGTCATCAATCAGAAACAAAGGAACCCATGAAGATATGAGAAGAAAATTACCTGTAGATTGACAAGCTACATTAAAATGTATGATGATAGACAGGCAGTGACTTAAATATAAAAAAACCTAATCTAATTTACAACAAAATTGTATTCCATTATTGCACAAAATCCCAGCAAAGCAAGCATCCACCTATGGTTAACAAATGGTCCATCTGGTTTCATTTGTTTTTTTAGATTTTGTAGCAGTTAGATACAATTGAGTGACTTCCTTGATCATTTCACAATTAATCATATAAGCCAGGCTGGGTAAGGATGGGAGATTGCCTTCCCTGAAGAACACAAGTGAATCAATGGATTTTTATGGTAAATAATAGTGGTTATACAGTCACCATTAGGCTAATATTTCATTCAGATTTATTGCTTGAAATGAAACTCAACTGTCTATTTATTAAATTCCGTGAACCCATGTCTGTAAAAGCATCTGGATGACTGGTCCAGTGGCATTACTGCCACACCACTGCCCCATTTGGTATTCACTGCTTGTCAATAGTGCATGATGCTTGGATTCTTGAGGTGTTCTTATTCTCCTGTAACCAGAAGAATTTTTTTTAAAATTTTGTTGTTGGATGTGGGTATCATTGAATGGAATAGCATTTACTGCCCGTCCCTAGCTGCCCTTGAGAAGATGGCAGTGAGCTGCCTTCTTGAACCATTGCAGCCCATTTGCTGCAGGTGGACCCAAAATACCCTTAGGGAGGGAATTTCAGGATTTTGACCCAGCAAATATGAAAGAACAGTGAAATATTTCCAAGTCAGGATGGTGGGTGTCTCAGAGAAGAACTCTAAGACAGTGATGTTCCCGTGTATCCGTTGCCTTTGTCCTTCCAGATTGAAGTGGTCGTGGGTTTGGAAGGTGCTGTCTAAGGACCATTGGTGAATTTCTGCAGTGCATCTTGCAGATAGTACACCCTGCTGTTACTGAACATCAGTGGTGGAGGGAGTGGGTGCTTGTGGATGTGGTGCCAATCGAGTTGGCTGCTTTGTCCTGGATGGTGTCAATCTTATTGAGTGTTATTGGAACTGCACTCATCCAGGCAAGTGGGAGTATTCCATCACACTCCTTGAAGATAATGGAATAGGTTTTGGGGAGTCAGGAAGTGAGTCACTCACCACAGTATTCTTAGCCTCTTACCTGCTCTTGTCACCATTGTATTTATATGGTGAGTCCAGTTCAGTTTCTAGTCAATACCCAGAGGAGTTTAAACAACTGCAGATTGAAAAATCTCAGCTAACAATCTTTGTCCTCAAGAAGGTTTCTAATTGCTAAATTAGAAGAGCAGTTGAGAAAAGCAATGATGTGACTGGACTGAACTAATTGTGGATGCTCAGTCATTGCTATTTACCCATTTACCTCCCAGAAGGGGACAAAACCCCTGATATGAACCTGAAAGAGCTTGATTGGCTGATCAATGTTCCAATGGGTTCTAATGCAATTTGTTTTTGTAACTGATATGTTCAGCATCAAACAATTACAAGACAGGGGTTTGAGGGAAGACTTGAAATTATTAAGCTCCAATGCTCCCAGAGCCCTTAGAGACCTTCCCCCATCACAGGTTCTGTTCTTTACATTGAAGTCTCCTAGTTGGCAGCCTGTAACTCCCTCCTGCATTTCTATTGTTTTCTATTCATTATTGTAGTTGTGAAGCTCTAATTCTAACACTGATCTATGACCTACATTCTTTTTCTCTTGCAGTTTATCGCTTTTGTGTCCCTCTTTTTCATCCTCTTGTCAATCACCACCTTTTGCCTCGAGACACATGAGGCTTTCAACAAGATCATTAACTTGACAGAACATACAGTTGTGGGGAACAGCACTCAGACAGTGAACGTGTATGAGATAGAGACAGAGCCCGCCCTCATGTACGTAGAAGGAGTATGTGTCGTGTGGTTCACTTTGGAGTTTATGGTCCGCATTTCCTTCTGCCCCAATAAGCTGCTGTTTGTTAAGAATATGCTGAACCTCATTGACTTTGTGGCCATCCTGCCCTTCTACCTGGAGCTGGCACTTCGTGGGTTGACCTCCAAGGCAGCAAGGGATGTTCTGGGCTTCCTCCGAGTCGTCAGGTTTGTACGGATTCTACGGATCTTCAAGCTTACCCGGCATTTTGTGGGATTGAGGGTGTTGGGACACACCTTGAGAGCCAGCACCAATGAGTTCCTCTTGCTCATCATCTTCCTTGCCTTGGGAATCCTCATCTTCGCCACAATGATCTACTATGCAGAGAGACTTGGTGAAAACCCTAACACTGTGAATTCCACTCACTTCAAAAATATCCCCATTGGCTTCTGGTGGGCAGTAGTCACCATGACTACTCTTGGCTATGGTGACATGTACCCCCAGACATGGTCGGGTATGCTGGTGGGAGCATTATGTGCCCTGGCTGGTGTGCTTACCATTGCGATGCCAGTGCCAGTCATCGTCAATAACTTTGGAATGTATTACTCCCTGGCAATGGCCAAACAAAAACTCCCCAAGAAACGCAGGAAGCATTTCCCCTGTGGAACGCATGCCAAGACTACAGGCCTTTACAGTTCAGACCTGAACTCCTCATGCAACAGCACACAGAGTGACAGCAATCAAGTTGCTGCTGAGGAGATACAAGAGAGAAAGAACTCAGGTAGGAGTTTAATCCTGTTGTATTTCAGAGCTTGTGTGTGAGCACCATTGCTGTCTTATCACTGTGTCCTTCCATTGGGAGTTTTACTCTCTCCAGTTGAGGTGTTGTGAGGGTTCAATACTGTGTGCACAGCCTCTTGCTGGCCCACAAATTGCTGGAGTCCTTTGACATCACTCTATTGATTTGATGCTGTAGAATGCTGGAAATGAAAACTGATAACAGCATAGCAAGGACAATGTCTGAAACTGATGCCTTTAATTGATGAAATAGAGAGAGAAGTAAAAGAAAAGCATGCAGAAGGAAACAGAGAACACCAGAGCAGGACATCAGGAGAACTAAAGGTAGAAAGAGCAATAAAGAGAAGAAACAGAGTGGATTAACAGAAAGATTGGAAACAGTAAAAGTAGGAAAATAAGAAATAAATTCAATGGAACCAGCAGAAAAAAAGTTGCCAGAATGGTTTGCGGGATGAGGAATTTCAATTTATGTAGGGAATTTACAGAAGCTGGATTGTTCTCATTACAGCAAACAAAGTTATGGAGAGATTTGAAAGAGGTGTGACGATTACAAAGAGTTGTATGGGAATAAACAAGAAGAAATTGTTACCCAGGCAGTAGAGTTATTAACTAGTGGGATACAGTTTTAAAGTGATTAGCAAAAGGAGCAACAAACATGAGGAAAACATTTATATTATTAGGGCAGTGCTGTGCTCTGCAAACAGCTGCCTGAAAGGACAGCAGAAGCAGATTCCAGAATAACGTTTCAAGGCAAGTTGGATAAATATTGAGAAGGGAAAAATTTTCAGGACAATGGGAAAGAAAGAGTGGAAATAATTGGAGAATGCTTTCAAATAATGGAACAAAGGTAGTGGTCACAGCAATCTCCTGGTGTGCTGGAGAATTCTATGCCACTAGGATTCTAAGCTGAAGACATTGTAATGAAATGCTGTCTGAAAACTGCTGAATTGGTCCTTGTTCATGTTCTGACTTCACAACGCATGTATCATGATACACATGTGGCAGTGCATGTGTGTCCTGGCTGTCTCTTGTCTCCTCATTTCATTACCTTTTTTCTCTAAACTGTTTGTTTTTTTTTGTCTGGGGCAAAGATAAAATGATGTTGCAGTGACGTTTACGAGATACTGAGCAGAAATTCTCTCTGTTCCAAGACTCAAAACAAAATGGTGAAGCAAACATGGCCCTATCTGATGAGGAAAGTGCTGCATTGAACCAACCGTTGACAGCCAATGAGAGCCAGGTGCTCAGAGGCCCCAGTATGAGGGACAAAAACAAGAAAGGGACAGCCTGTTTCTTACTGACAGCAGGTGAGTTAACAGCCAGAGGAAAGGGTGGCAGTTCATTGTCCTCTTAACTTACACATGTAAAATGTGGGTCCCACTCTCAGTGGAATTTAATGCCTTTCTTGGAGGTTAGTTAGATGGTGGGGGAATGGGTACTTAGTTAGGTACCTTCACACTTTTGGCCTGATTAAGTTTATGGTTGGGAGGCCTATGGGCAGCATTTGCAGTCCACTCCCAATTGAGGCCTTAACATGGACAATTATTGACCACAAGCATGAATGAGAGCATGTGGTTGTGTGTGAGTGTGAGTGTTAGTATGTGTGTGTGTCTTTGACGGCATGTGAGTGACAGATTTAGTGTCTGTGTGAGTGTGAGGTGTTTAACAAAACTGATGGGAGTCTTAGCAGAGATAACATTTCTGTTTGGAATTGTTCTGAAGAAGGGTCATTGGACATGAAATGTTAACTCTTCTTTCTCTCCACAGATGCTGCCAGACCTGCCGAGTATCTCCAGTAATTTCTGTTTTTGTTTCCAACAAGCAGCCAGTATTCACCGCTGGTTGTCAGGGAGCTCACTGTGCATAAACACAAACCCTGTTGAGCTTGCTTCTAGGATTCTGAGGTGTTGCCTAAATAAAAGGCACTGAGTCCCAATCAAAGGACCCCGCATGGGGACATGGGGTGGCCCAAATCTCTCTTGCCATCACTCATGTGTGATCCAGGGCCCTCAGTGCCCCTGGGCTTCAGGTAGGTACATTACCAGTAGCAGCCACCACACCCACTGGTGCTGCTGAACAATGCTCAGCCTCAGGATTTTGATTGGCCAGGATTTTCCTGGTGGAGTGGGGGAGTGGGAATTACATGTCCTGGAAGACCAGCTGCTACCCAGCTGAGTGCCGGCTTGGCATTTAATGGAATAAGCCCCTTCGACAGAGGCAACATGGGACTTCCAGCAGCTCTCCAGCAAATGGGCAGCACTTCCATCAAAAAAAGAGGACTGCAGATCCTGGAAATCAGAGACAAAAATAAAATCAGAAATTGCTGGAGAAACTCAGCAAGTCTGGCAACAACTGTGGAGAGAAAGCAGAGGGAAGTTGTGTGAGGAGTCAGAGAAAATGAGTGAGATTCTTAACGAGTACTTTGTGTCGGTATTCACTGAGGAGAGGGACATGACGGATGTTGAGATTAGGGATAGATGTTTGATTGCTCTAGGTCAAGTCGGCATAAGGAGGGGGGAAGTGTTGGGTATTCTAAAAGACATTAGGATGGACAAGTCCCCAGGTCCGGATGGGATCTCTCCCAGGTTACTGAGGGAAGCGAGAGAGGAAATAGCTGGGGCCTTAACAGATATCTTTGCAGCATCCTTGAGCACGGGTGAGGTCCCAGAGGACTGGAGAATTGCTAATGTTGTCCCCTTGTTTAAGAAGGGTAGCAAGGATAATCCAGGTAATTATAGACCGGTGAGCCTGACGTCAGTGGTGGGGAAGCTGCTGGGAAAGATACTGAGGAATAGGATCTATTTACATTTGGAAGAAAATGGTCTTATTAGTGATAGGGAACATGGTTTTGTGCAGGGAAGGTCATGTCTTACCAACTTGGTAGAATTCTTTGAGGAAGTGACAAAGTTGATAGATGAGGGAAGGGCTGTAGATGTCATATACATGGACTTCAGTAAGGTGTTTGATAAGGTTCCCCATGGTAGGCTGATGGAGAAAGTGAAGTCGCATGGGGTCCAGGGTGTACTAGCTCGATGGATAGAGAACTGGCTAGGCAACAGGAGACAGAGAGTTGTAGTGGAAGGAAGTTTCTCAAAATGGAGAACGGTGACCATTGGTGTTCCACAGGGATCTGTGTTGGGACCATTGTTGTTTGTGATATACATAAATGATCTGGAGGAAGGTGTGGATGGTCTGATTAGCAAGTTTGCAGATGACACTAAGATTGGTGGAGTAGCAGGTAGTGAAGGGGACTGTCGGAGAATGCAGCAGAATATAGATAGATTGGAGAGTTGGGCGGAGAAATGGCAGACGGAGTTCAATCCAGGCAAATGCGAGGTGATGCATTTTGGAAGATCCAATTCAAGAACGAACTATATGGTAAATAGAAAAGCCCTGGGGAAAATTGATACACAGAGACACCTGGGTGTTCAGGTCCATTGTACCCTGAAGGTGGCAATGCAGGTCGATAGAGTGGTCAAGAAGGCATACGGCATGCTTTCATTCATCGGACAGGGTATTGAGTACAAGAGTTGGCAGGTCATGTTACAGTTGTATAGAACTTTGGTTCGACCACATTTGGAATACTGCGTACAGTTCTGGTCACCACATTACCAAAAGGATGTGGATGCTTTGGAGAGGGTGCTAAGGAGATTCACCAGGATATTGCCTGGAATGGAGGGCGCTAGCTATGAAGAGAGGTTGAGTAGATTAGGATTATTTATGTTTGAAAGACAGAGGTTGAGGGGGGACCTGATTGAGGTCTACAAAATCATATGAGGTATAGACAGGGTGGATAGCAAGAAGCTTTTTCCCAGAGTGGGGGACTCAATTACTAGGGGTCACAATTTCAAGGTGAGAGGGGAAAAGTTTAAGGGAGATTTGCGTGGAAAGTTCTTTACGCAGAGGGTGGTGGATGACTGGAACACGTTGCCAGCAGAGGTGGTAGACGCGGGCACGATAGCGTAATTTAAGATGTATCTAGACAGATACATGAGTGCGCAGGGAGCAGAGGGATACAGATCCTTGGAAAATAGGCGATAGGTTTAGATAGAGGATCTGGATCGGCGCAGGCTGGGAGGGCCTAAGGGCCTGTTCCTGTGCTGTAATTTTCTTTGTTCTTAACATTTTATGCCCAGTGACCCTTATTAGAATCGAAACATTATCTCTGCTAAGACTCCCATTGATTTCATTAAATATCTTACACTCACCCTCAATCTGTCACACTCACTCACATACTCTCACAGGCCCTCACAAACACTCATCAGATAGCAATCATACTCACACATACTCATATCGACATACACTTGTACACACACTCTCACGCACACTCACTCATCCACTCACATACACACACAGAGTCCCACACAGTCTGACACGCACTCTAACACTCAAATTTATTTTTGTACATATTGACTCACACACACTCTCACTTGGATGCACACATTCAGTTACTCCAAGACATTTTCACATATTCACTCACTCTCACACTGACTCACAGACTCTCACTAACAAATACTCTCACTCACATCTGCTTTCTCACACACAATTTCTCATGCAGACTCAAATATTTTCAAACACTTGCTTTCAATTGCACAGTCACTCACACAGTTTCACTTCAAATTTATTATAATCCCTTGTCATGTTCAGCGATGCACAATGCTAATATTAGCTGGGAATTTCTCTCTGTTGTATTTTTGTTGTATTTTGTGCTGTTTTATTTTTGACACAGAGAACTGCAAAGATGTCCACACAGTTAACTACACTCAAGCAGAAATGATCACCCTTTCTTAATGGTAAATAGCAGAGGTCAGAGAGCAAAGGGCGAACTTCCTTATTTTATCCAAAGTACTATCCTCAAGTGAAACAGCAAGTTCCAGATCACACCAATCTGGGTGACGATCAGAAGCTGAGAACCATTGAATACTCATAACTATTAAACTGGTTATAATATATCTACATAATCCGGTAAAAGCATGACTGCATGGTGGTTCTGTAAGATATGTATTATGGAAAAAAGTAAGTATATTTATTATATATATAAAGAAGTTTCTAGATATGTACTGTTGAATTTATTAACATATAGATCATAATGTGCAAATATCTTTGAAATTCCAGCAATAGATAAATGATCTTTATTTTATCATTACTTGTTGCACATTTTATATTTGTCTACTACTGTCTAATATTGTATTTGAGGAAAGATGTGTGAATTTTACTTCCATAAGTAAGTCATTATGTAGACTGTTGTATTTTAGTTTGAGATGTAACTAAGCAACAGAGCTAACATTTCAAAAGTTCTTGAAGTAAACAATATTTTGTGTGTTCCAAGTTTCTTAGCAATGAAATAAGTCAACCTCCTGTTCGCAGTGAAACTAGGATTCCAGTAAGAATGAGAAAAGTTGTAAATGCAGTTAATCGGAGATAAATGTGAAAAATGGTGGAGATAGACGGTTTGTCAGAACATAGAGAATAACTAAAAACTACAGCCTGAAGCTGAAACAGTAACCTGTCTTTTCGATGCTGATTGATCTGCTGTGTATTTCTAGAGTGTTCTTAATGTTTTAATATTTCATCAGTGGAGACTGTAAAGTGGGTAAGTTTCATAGGTCACGTTTCTGTGCCCTTTCTATGTGTTGTAATGTTCTGTGCTCTGTGTCTCTGGCAATAACCAATGACATTGTACCTTAATGTCATGTCTATGTGTTGTTGAGCATGAAGCTGTGCTGTTATACTTGGATGGAAATAAAGAAATACTCCTTTTCCAGTTAACTTTAATGTTTCATGTTTTGTGTCTCAAATGGATCTTGTTTCAAGCATTCAGAATCAAAGCATGATGCAGCTCAGAAAGAGACCATTTGATGCAAGATGTCTGTACCTGCTTTGGTTGGTTCATTAGTTCACAGATGTTTCATTACCATGCTGGGTAACATTATCAGTGCAGCCTCCGAAGAAGCGTTGTTGTATTTTCCTGCCTGTTATTTAAACTCTGGTGTCCGTTGGAGTTGATTACCTCATTTCCGGATTTTCTTCACAGTGGTGTAAATATTGGGTCTAATTCTATGTGTTTATTGATGGGCTTCTTGGTGGAGAACGAGGCCACTAGAAATTCCTGTGCTTGTTTCTGGTGGTTCTCCCTGTCTGTGTGTTTGGAGATGAGTGAGTATTGGTCATGTCTTTTTGTTGTTAGTTGGTGTTCATGTATTCTTGTAGCCAGCTTTCTTCCCGTCTGTCCAATGTAATGTTTGTCGCAGTCCTTGCATGGAATCTTGTATATAACATTGGTTCTGTCCATTGTGTGTAAGGGGTCTTTGGTTCTTGTTAGCAGTTAGCATAGGATTGATGTAGGTTTGTGTGCTATATTCACACCACTGCAAAGTAAAACTGGAAATGAGGTAACCGACTCCAAAGACCCCAGAGTTTAAATAACAATCCTCCTTTTCAAATTTTCTTTTCTAATTCTTCTTTGAAAGTTCAATTGAATCTGTTTCCACTGTCCTTTCAGGCAGCACGCTCCACCTTTTCCTCCTTCCTTCAGAGATTTTATATTGAGACCCTAGGTCTTTCTGTTGCTGCATCCCTTTCAAAGTTGTAGTTTTTAGTTTGTAGCACTTTTCCTCACTTGTCCTAGCGAAATGTGTCATGTCATACTTCTCTGAATAAGTTTTATCTGTCACGAGATTGCTCATTTCACTCTGTCCTTCTGAAATCTTATTGTTTGTGACAATTCCAAGTTTTGTGACATCTGCAAACTTTGAAATCAGGCCTGGTGTCAGAGTTTAGGTCATTAATAGACATTAAAAGAGAGTGATCCAATTACTGACTCCTAAGAAATCCATCTCTGTACGTCCCTTTAGTCTGAAAACCACTAATCTTTGCTTTCTGTCTCTTAACTGTATTTGTACACAAGTTGCCACTGTTCCTGTAATTACAATGGCTTCTATTTTGCCAAGAAACCTCTGATGTATATTTATTTATTTGTCACATGTGCTAAGAGAGGAATTTATAAGTATAGTGAAAAGTGCACAAAGTTACCATTCACTGGGGCCCACTTGATTACAAAACCAGAATTAAAAGATTTTAAGAGCCAAAAGGTAAGCAAGAAAAAAAGAAAGATGCATTTCCCAGAGTCCCAAGTCCCATCTCCACAAAGGTGCAGGCTCCGCTCCAATTGCTGGGACATCCAGGAGATCATCGCTGCCTCATCGGCCCTGCTGTCACCGTCACTGTCTCACCTCCCCCGTCTCACCGTCACTGTCTCACCTCCCCCCTCTCACTGTCACTGTCTCACCTCCCCCCTCTCACCGTCACTGCCTCACCGTCCCCGTTCTCACCGTCACTGCCACACCGTCCCCACTCTCACTGTCACTGCCTCACCTTCCCCCCACTCACCGTCACTGCCTCACCGCCCCCCTCTCACTGTCACTGCCTCATTGTCCCCCCCTTACTATCACTTCCTCACTGTCCTCCCCTCACCGTCCCCCCCTCACCGTCACCGCCTCACCGTCCCCCCCTCACCATCACTGCCTCACCGTCACCCCCTCACCATCACCGCCTCAC